CCCAGCCCTGGCTTTTAGAACATCTCTGTGGATGTTTAAGGCTCTGTGGCTTAGTTCTCTAATATCTAATCACCAGTGATGGCCTTCTTGGCATCTTGATCAGCTCTGTTCCTGTGCCTTCAGTGAGGCCTCTTCCAACCCTGCCTTTAAAGCCTTTAAACCTTTTCGGTGCCATTCCATAATATTTACATGATAGGGAATAGGTTCTAAGAGTTAAGGTTAGTGATGAAGATTGCAACAAAAGATCCTATAATTGCCAGTGGCCACTACCAGGTAAAATCAGTGATCTTTGGTATATTAAAGACAACATAATTGATGTAGCTTCTGAATTTATTGTAAAAATGCAAGCATGACTGTTTCTGACATAGCTCATTCACTACAGAAAGTCCATTTTGTAGTGGGCCTTTCCAATTTCTATCACCATTATATCATGCATTTTGGCCATTCACATTTCTACACAGGTAATTCTCCACTCAAATTAAATACAAAAGTAGATAGAGCTTTAGGGACTGGAATAATAGCTTAGTGGTAGAATACTTGACTGTTATATGCAGTGCTCCTGCACTACACATACATGCTTGCATACATACATACATACATAATACACACACACACACACACACACACACACACACACACACACACACACACACACTAAAGCCCAGGTTTCCCTGAGTCTTTTAGTGTTTTTTTCTGAAGAATCTTGTATCATGTGAAAATCTGGTTAAACAAATCCATTATCCCTTTATTTTCCTAATTTCTTCTTGTTATAAGATTGTTAGTCATGACCTTTATGGTGGATAAGAAAAGGTATCACCGACTTTTGTCCTACACTGAAGAAAATTTGTAAAGAGAACTAAGATGGTGCCTGGAAAAATGCACAGATAATGAGGCAAAGATTAACATCAATCTATTTAAAAAATAAGAGTGAAAGAGCAGCTATAGAGCTTCATCTATGTGGATAAGCCTCAGCTCTTATAAATGTTTGCTTTTTGTTCTTTCTCCCTTCCTTTCCTCCCTTTATCCCCCTCCTTCCTACTCCTTCTTTATATTTTATATCAAGAAAATCCAGAGGCCCAGGGTCAAGTCTAGTCAAGCATATATACCTTTATAAATAAAGTTTTATTGTCACATACCATGTCCACTCATCTACATATTACATATGAACACTTCAGCAAAGTAGTTGTGTCCAAGACCATATGACCACAATACTGTACCATATTATTTGCTCTTTATGTAAAATGTTTGCTGGTTCTGTGTTCTACATAATTGGCAGAGGCTGTTTTGCTGAACTAGGCTTGAGAAAGCAGAAAGTGCTGAATAGACTTCATGCTGCATTTGGTGCTCAGCTTCTCAGCTTTCTGCTGTGTGTTAAGGGAAAGAAGCCAGGCTTCTATGGGGGGTCTAATGAAGCAGAGATAGGTCCAATGGCCAGCAAGTTCTCAGGATATCTGAAATCACCACAGAATGTGAGACTTGGAGACAGGTGACTGATATAAGCACGTGGGAATGAAGGAGGGAAGAGGTTAGGCATGTCAAAATTTTACTATGTCTAAGAGTGCTCTCGAGTCATCCTACACTTTAGCTTGTAGAGGACAGAATTCTGCCTGCAAGTTTCGAGTGAGTTGAATGTTGTCCTTAGAGACTCTCTTGCTGTTCCCAATGACTTCGATGGGAGTAATGGGGCATTTTGTCCCACGACATCTGTGCTGGCTTCAGGCTATTTAACAAACTCCTACTAAACAAATCTCAATAAAGGCTCTTTAATGGGTACTTAGTTCTGTTGTAGAGGTAGGTGCTGAGCACACCTAAGTCCTTTCTTTTCCTTCAGGTTTGCTGTTTCCTCCTTTTTATGGCTTAGTAATTACTACAGCAGAGAACCCTGAGTTAAGCACTATTAAACCCACTCCGAGTCACCGAATGTCTGCTTTTATTGATCTCAGTTGATCCTCTTACTCTCTAGGTTCCAATTTAACAGTTCAGTTGATTATTCATTTACATTTTTAATGTTGTAGGTGAAATCATTTTAACATGAATCATCTCTAACTTAATGGGTAACATACAGAGTTATTTGGGATTTTAATTTTAACAAGTATTTATTGAGCATTTGAGCTCAGATGAACCTGACAAGGATCAAAAAGGTCATTCTGCTTTATGGTCAACAATGACAAAAATGATGTGCTGATGTTTTGCTATGCAAAATGGCTGTTACTTATAAATGGCTTCCATGGTGTTAGAGGGTGGTTAGGACATTATGTTTTATAACTTCCACTTACTAATTATATTTTGTCTACATATACTTAAAGTATATAATGTCCATATCATTGTTTGAACTTGTTCTTAAACACAGGTGTTCTTATAACTTATTTTCCTTTTAGATGATTTTGCTTTGCCAAAGATGTGAGGGATTATGCCAAGTGGAGCTCTTTGGAATGAGAGCTTGATTTTATTAGGTTATGAAACTACTTAATAAACACAGGCAACATGGAAAGATCTAACTACACTTGTGTTTGCAGTATTATGTTCTACCTGAAAGCTCTTTAAATATGTTTTGTGGAGTTGGTAATATGCTTTTATCCTGCACATCAAGAAGATGAAACTAAAAATACAACCACCAGTGGCTTTTCCTTCCCAACAGGAACTGTTTAGTGTATCATATTTATGAGTTATATGTCTAATCATCTATTGCTTCCACTTGTTTCTAAAATGAGATGAGGCATAGGAAAATACATAAATGGGTACTTCTGGTCATAATAGTCACCTTTATCTGACAGTATAAAATGGAGCCAGAGTTTAATGCTGAATAGAGGAGGCACAGTACTCATTTTCTAGGGAATAGCGTGAGCTGAGGCTTGCTGAAAAGGGCAGTGAAGAATGAAATAGTGCCAGAACACTTGGAAGTGCCTCCTTTTGCTAATTTTCACTGCCAATTTCAATAGTCTTATTACAAACCCAGCAGACAAAGAAAAGAGCTATTCTAAATTCTTTACAAAAGGTCAGATGGTCAATAGTATCATTCTTTGTCATGAAATTATTGAACTCTTTTCTGTTTGCCTGGCACATAGGAAGCACATTCAAAGCAAAGGCAGAAATTCAGTTGTTAGGAATGCTTCATCTCATAGACATGTAAACACACCACTGATAATAGAATGTGTAATGTTTCAATTTCCAAAGCCCTTCCCTTCTGTTGGCAGAACTAGAAAACTTGGGAGAAAGATGACTTTTAAATGTGATCGTGAACAATGAGTGAGTTCATTAATTGAATGGTGAGCTCACCCTGGGTCCTGTCCTAAGTTACTATATTTTGCAAAAGCAGGTTATTTATTTGGTGTTGTTTGTTTTCAGATTGCTTTGCCTTGAGAGGCCCTCCTGTAGAACATTTCTACCAGGTTCTCTGCTTTGGCCTCTCAGACCTCTTTGAAATTCTTTGCCTAAGCCTTTACAGCCATGCTTAACTTTTATATTCATATAGAGATAGATATACTGTGTGGTGCATATTATATAATTTGATAATTAATATTGCTAATCAAGATTGGAATAAACAACAACAAAAACTCATGCTTGCCTCAGCCATAAATATCAAGGAAAAGGGAATTCTCTGGCAAATTGCTGCTAACGAATTTATTGTTACTCAATAAATTCTGACATTGTGGAAAGACACAGATGTATTTGTTGATGCCTTAACATCGCACACTTAGAGGGGCTAGCCTCAGAAAGAGGTCTTAGCAAGAACTTGGGGGTTCCTGAGAAATACTGGGTTTTTCATAATAGCTCATATGAGCAGTATATGGGCTGTGGAGGCAACTCAACAGTGAACTAATTTTGGGACTGTATTATGTAAACAAGGGAGATTTGTTGGCTCACTTTAAACCAAAGGGAGGGGATGGTAAGATAGGGCTTGCAAGACATCTCACTTGGTAATGGGTCTGGTGTGCAAGCATGGAGACATGGGTTTGGATTTCTAGCAGCCAAGTAAAAAGATAGTCCTGGTAGTGTGCATTTGCAATTACAGCATGGGTAGGGGGTTGGAACAGAGACAGGAGGGGCTCATTGGCTAGGCAGCCTAGCTGAATCAGTAAGCTCTAGGCTTAGTGAGAGATCCTGATCAAGAAAAAAGGTGGAGAATAATTGAGGAAGACTGGTATAAACCTCTGGTATCAAGCTCTCTCTCTCTCTCACACACACTCTCTGTCATACACACACGCACATACACACACATGCACACACACACACACACACACACACACACACACACACACACACACACTCACATAGCACATAGCACACACAAGGGAACAAGAGCTCCAACAAACCCTGAAATGTGAGCAGAAGACATTAGGGGAAGTACCAGTAAAGCTAACTTAAAATGGCCAGGGTCAGAGACAGTATCTATTGATGATTAGATGCCATCTTCTATTCTTCATCCTAAAAAAACAGGTAGAACAACCGTATAGCTTGTTGATTTGTTTTGAAAGAGTTTATTGAGTATGCTGTAAGTTGGCAATGGGATGAGCTATAACTGCAGGACTACCTGTAGCCACAACCAAGCTCCAAAGTTTTTCCTGGGATCATCCCTGGGATTCACAGTCCCTTTCCCAGAAAATGGCTTGCTGTAGTGGTATAATGTCTAACTAAATTCCTGTTTGTTATCTGATTGTAATAACCTTTTATACATATATGCATAACTAATATTTTTGTTAGACACTTGAATTAGGTCACTGAAATTGTAATTACACTCTCAGTAGAGTTGCACTAATGAAATCCCACAGTTAGTGCTGTAATTAGATCACAATGTACACCAATAAGATGATGAATTTTTAAAATCCTAAATTTTAAATTCACTAAATTTGTCCGATTCACAACACATGGCATACCGAAAATCCTCTAGACTTTCTTTCTCAGTGAGCTTATATGAGATAGTATTTCTGCACACAACACCTGACAAATCTCATGACTGTTAGAATAAACATGCCCAGGAAGGGCTTGTGTGAGTCCCATACCTGTGCTGTCTTCATACACCACAGTCACAGTTTTCCAGTTGTAATAGAGGACCAGATCCAGGACTGCCCTGCTGATAGCTGCATAATCTGGATAGAGGTTGATGTAAAATAAGTCTCTGTTGTCCACCGAAGGGTGTTTCCAGCGAGTCTGAATGTGTGGAACTTCCAGAGCGTTGCAAATAGACTGCACAGCGCTGACAGAAGAGCTGTGGGAAGGGCCAAAGAGAGCGGCCACACCAAGAGCCAGCTGGTCACAAGCTGATAGTATCCAAAGACAAGAAAGGGGATGGAGAGGGAGGGCAGGGAAGGGGTGACAAGAGAGAGAGTGCTATGAATTCACGTTCTCCTTCCACGATTTCTCTACTCAACTATTAGAGACCTCCTATAATTCCCATTTCTGTGTTGATATCTGCTCTTTCCAGCTTCCAATATACTTTGGATAATAAGATACTGATCAATGTAAATGCAGAGCTAATCAGCAATAAATCATAAGGCCAACTCCCTGCAAATAAAATGAGTTACTGGTCTCAGTTCATTACCTTCAGTCAGATGAAGGCTAAATCCTTTACTTGATCCCATGAGTACTCTGTGAGCTAACTAGCAAACCATTTGTCAAATGAATGTCGTATGAATTAAGTTCTGTCATATGGCAGGGTGACAATGGAGAAATTAGTATGGTCAGAGAATTCAGAAGCTCCTGTGGGTAACTATAAAATGCTTTGGCTCCATTCCATCTGAAACTCAGATAGGAATTCCAGATTATTTAAATATTGCTAAAGAGTACATATAAGCAGCGATGATACCTAATTAATTACAGAATAATGGAATGGCATGGCATAAAGGGATCTTTAGAAGATTCTTGAGTCTATCCCACTCATTTCATATACAATGGACTTAATCATGGCCACTGGACAGTAACAGAGTTGAATGAGAACTTAAGGATCCCAGCTCAAGGCCAGACCTCCTTTTCTCTCAATTATCAGCCAAACAGAATTAAATCACACATTTAAATTTTTACTTCTAACATTTTTTTTTTGCTATAAGAACGAAAGCATCCATTGTAAGAAATTAGAATATTTATAATACGAGGATGACCAAAGGCTCTGTCATTAGTCTGTCAACTTGAGATAATGCTTACTGATGTTTCAGAAAATGGGGACTGCTATTCAAGTATCATGTGATACACTGAAGCCTTTATTGAATGAAAATGCACAATGTTCTCCCTAAGGTAGTGCAAATTCTTCAAGAGTGTTTTTCTACTACGGGAAGAACAGACCACTGGGTGGAAATGGTGTCATTTACTGAAGCCATTCTTATACATTTAAGTATTTAAACTCCTCTTAATTTTTGACTATGATAAGTAATATTTCAGTATTGATGTTTTTTTTCTCTACATCTTAAATTACTATTTGATTCTAGATTCTAGGTGGTGATGTTTGGCATCTACTACTAAAAGGACTTGATATTTTTAAATTATTTGATACATATTAACCAAATTTCCTTCCAGAAAGATTGGTTTATCTTCTCCCACCATGTAGAATAATGTCTAGTAATCACATGTAAGTGGATGCTAAGTACAGGTTTACATACATCATTCATATGATACTTTTGTAAAATAAATTTTAAAGTTGTCAAGTGATGATAATTGAATAACTAAATTAGATAAAAAGATCTATATAAAGGAATTTGTGTTAGGGATTTTATAATTATACAGTTTTACAAAATTAAGTAGTGAACACCGTATGTTTCTGTAAGTTTCTAGGAGATGGTTTAGAGAGAAGAAAGAGTAAAATTTTGACAGCCATGTTGCAGCCATCTGAGGGGCAGCTGATGCTGACATGCCAAGGACAGCTTCTGACACTGGGTTGCTGGGCGCTGATTTTCTGCACCAGCTTTGAAGATGCACAGCTTTCTGTGATGTGCTGAAGGTGTGAATTGTCACTGTCCTCCCAAACCCACTTCTGGATGTGTGTTCATTAGACTGATAAAGTGTAAGCATGGGAGTATGCAAATTGTCTTATCCAGCATGGGCAATAGATTGATACTTCTGTTAATATGTCGTGACTCTAGGATGCTAATATTTCTTGACAGAAAATCAGTCCTTTGGAATTCTGTTTGTTGGAGTGTTTAATTTACAAGTATGTTTGGATCTTCAGATCAATTTTTTGTGGCTTAAAGTATCACTGTTAAATGTCATTGGCTTAGCTTTCTATGGTATTGTTCAAAAGTATATGAGAGAGGAGAAAGAAAGAGAGACAGAAAAAGAGAGAGACAGAGAGAGATAGAGAGACAGAGAAAGAGAGGTACAAAGAAAAGAGAGACAGAGATACAGACTGTGAGAGTCAATAGGCAACTATGGCCTATAAGTAATCTCTAGCTTCATTCTTTAAAAAAAAAAAAAACTTTTTTTGAGACAGAGTTTTGCAATGTGGCCCTCAAATCCACGCTAGGCTGGCCCCAAATTCACCTTGGTCATTTTAGTGCTAGGATTATAGGCATATGCCACCATGTCCAGCCTTCTAGTCTAAGAAAAACATGGTTATTACACCAAGATTATGGTATATGTGGAAACATTATTAAGGTATTAATCTTCATCTACTTGATGAAGAAAGCTTTACATTTTGTTTGTAAGTAGCACTGTAATGTCTTTAGGAAACTGTTTCAGGCAAACACGTTCTCTGATATAACTAGGCCATTTCTCTTAACCTTTATCATTCAGTTACTTGGGAACCACCAAAAGCATGGAGCTGATCATGTATGATTCGTGTCTGCAAAAAGCAACGTGCGTTCTGGAAGGAAAAGGATTCTTTATAGACTCAAGATAAGCAGCAATCTTTGTTTCCATAAAATCTTTAACCTTGTGAGTAAGCAGTGCCTTTGCCAGAGGCCATGCATGCCCCATGTGTATGGAATCATGAGAGAACTGTTCTGGGGGTGCCCAGGGGACGTCTAAACCAGCCCCCACATTCCCTAAGATTCAGCCCACATGATGAAGCTCGCAGCCTGCTTATAAATGATGTTACTTTCTGACTATCTGTCTTCTCTTCAGAAGAAAAGAGAAAATCAAATTGTGATTTGTTCTCACAGATTTAATCTTCATATTTTTATGATTTTGCAGAAAAGTGCAAAACGGGCAACAACAAAATGAGTAGATGTTAGATAGACCCAGCAGTCTGTAGGAGTCCTTTATTATCCCAGGCTTGACTCACGTATGTTCTGGGCACTTTTGCATGCTTGGTGGATGTGACCTTCCACAAAGTTTTATTTGACTGCACTGTACAATTTCATGGTGGTATCTCAGCTCCAGGAAGGGAAAACAGATCAAGCTTGACATTTTCCATTCACAGCTGAACCAGTTAATCATAGAGTGGAGGGCACTGAAGGATAAGCTAATCAGAAAGGCCCAGAAAACAGGGCTAGGCAGCGTCCATTAGGTGAGTCCAGATTGCATTGATCAGTGACATTGGGGACCAGGAATTCCTACCACCCATTTGCACTAAGAAGCCTACTTCGAAAAAGGGTGAGCAGTGAAAAGGTGACCCGTGCAGCAGACTTACCACCTGAAGTAGCTTTGTAAAGTGGAAAAATAGTTACCTCTCCGGGAGGCTTCAAAACTATCAAAAAGATTAATTCTCTGGATGTCATAGGTTAATGTGGTGTTAGGCATCAATGTTCGGTTTCGGTTAATACTGGTGACTGCAAACTTGAAAGCTAATTCTTCAACATTAACGGGCTCATTTTCCACAGTTTCAAAAATCCCTCCTGCAGAAGCAAAAGAGATGCATGAGAAACGTTAGACAGGTGAAGTATCGCTGTTTTAAGACAGTAAAGTGTTAACAAAAGACCCCAAATCATAATCGACAGGATGACTAAAGTATATACAGAATCTAGGCTGAATGTTATCAGAATGTGTTACATGCAAACCAATAGTTCTAACTGCACACAGATGTTTAAGGTTTTAAATCCAGTATTGGATGTATAATACCTCTTAGATGGTGAATATATTCCAAATATTTTATACAACAGAATCATAGATAATAATGCAGTAGAAAGCAATTTTCTCTGATTTTCACAAGATTTGTGTTGTGTTTGACCTAAACATAATTTAAGCTATATTCTGGTAGGTAATCCTGTCTTGGGATTTAGACTTTTCTATTGAAAACAGAGTTTTTAGGAGCTGGAGAGGTGACTCTGCAGTTACAAACACTCGTATATGGCTCTTACAGAAGACTGAAGCTCAGTTTCCACCCACACTGGACTGCTCATAATCACCTGTAAGCCAAGCTCCAGAACATCTGACACACTGTTGGGAGCCTACACTCATGTGCACACCCCCACACACTCATGTGCATACCCCACTCCCACACACTCATGTGCACACCCTACCCACACATACTCATGTGCACACCCCACCCACACATACTCATGTGAACACCCCCACATACTCATGTACACACCCTCACCCACACACACTCATGTGCACACCCCAAACCTCACACACTCATGTGCATGTCCCACTCACACATTCATGTACACACCCTATCCACAACACTTATTAGCACACCCACACCTACACATTCATGTGCATACCCCCACCCACCGACACTCATGGGTATACCCTCACCCCAACACACTCATGTGCATACCCTCACCCCAACACACTCATGTGCATACACTCACTCACATACTCATGTGCACACACTCACACACTCATGTGCATACCCCACCCACACACTCATATGTACACCCCTATTCACCCATACTCATGTGCATACCCTCACCCACACACATTCATATGCACATCTCCACCCACACAGGTACACATAATTAAAGATAAAATAAACCTGTTTTAAAAAGCATACGTTCTGGACCCTAATTCTACTGGGATTGGGGAGGGATGGACTGGGACAAACAAAATAATCCTACTCTGACAGTTTTCAGAATGAAAACATCTATTCTAGGTTTTATGGCTCAGATGTCTGGGGTCATATTCTATACATCATAACATACTCCAAAGCATATGGGTAGATTCAAAGAAAGGTTATTTTCTCTGTTTGAAAAATCATTTGAATATACCCCAAAGCAAACTTGTGTTCTAACTCTGGGGAAATATGTTCTTTCAAGCCCTAGCTTCTGGCATCTTAAACATGTGTATCTATCTCACTACAAACAATATCATCATGCTTGGCTTTCATCTGAGACTCCAACTCTGACTGAGTGAAACACTGGTATTGGATAGAGACGTGGTTAGCTGTATGTTCTTAATATTCTTTAAGTGCACCCATGATATTAACTCAATAGACACAGAACATTCCATTGAAGCATTACAAACTGACCTCTGCTTAGCTAAGTCCTTGATTTACCCAAGTCTTTGTTTCCTCTGAAAATAGGCCCTAACTCCTGCCCATGACATGTGAAATGTTCATAGGCTGCAATTTATCTACTCTCATTGTTCCTTATTAAGGGTCAGAATTAGGTATTTCTAAACTTTGTTGATTCAAGCAAATACACACACAGACACACACACACACACACACACACACACACACACACACACACACACACACAATCTGAAATGAAATGCACAAATAGTCACCATGTGCCTACTTTCTTTTTGTGCTTTCTCACATGGAGAAATCCAGTGTACAGATTTTAACTAAATGTAATCACACTGGCCCTATTTTGGAAGATTAGGTTTTTCAAAAAGCACATATATAGCTTTATTTATGACTTTATTTCTTAATCAACTACAGCATCTAGCTGTGAGAGATGAGAAAACCTATGGTAACCTAATTTGGCTTCTTTCAAATATGTTTCTGGCAATTATAGATCAATAGCTTGAACCATTCATGTATAGATTACTACTATGGTTCTCTATGAAACTATACTTAAGAATAAATGATGATGTCATGTTAACTCTCACTTAAGGACCCAGGGGAGACAGCTGTTTCAAAAGTAGTATCAGAAAATGCTATGTTTTCCCTCTGTCAATCACAAATGGGTAATCAGGAAGGGACTTTCATTTTCTCTGTGGGCTGAGTAAATGGTGGACTGACAGGTGAGGAGGTCAGGCAAGAAGCACTGAGTGGTCACAGGCAGATTGATGTAAGATGAGCTCATTGCTGTGGTCAAGGTGACCCACACTGAGGGCTTTTGCTATTAGAATTCCCATAGTAGTCATTGGCAATTGTTTACTAGTCTACCTCTCAGCCCCAGCAAGGGCCATGTGACAGAGTCCATGTCACTCAGAATCTGACCCCATCAAGGCCAAGTCATCTTAAGATACTCAGGCTGCAACTATTTATGGGGAAAGTCAACCTCTGCCTGTGAGAAGAGCAGCAACTTAATGGGCAGGGCAGGTCGTGGGAGGGGATATACTCCCAGATAAAGAACAGAAGTTGTGAAATGTGGACACTGGCTTTACCTAATTCTTCTCTGAGATTTTTAAGTTGTGGGAGGAAAATCATCCCAGAGTAGCTATTCTGTGTAGTTTTCTTAAAACTTTATAACTAGCAGACAAAGTAGGAGATATTTTCCTGTTCTAGTCAATGAAAATGAAAGTCATAGTACACATTGCCACCAAATAATTCAGTTACAAGACTCATCTGTGACAAACTGTCTTTTCTTCTCTGTTCTTTTTTTCCTCTCTTACTTTTTGAGACTTGAGGATAGCCCATTTTAATAAGATATTTAAATCCTTCTGGGGGTGTCTTTGTGGGGCTAACTTCTGTCCTCATCCATCTGGAAGCCAAGGGTCCAACTTGACAGGAAGGAAGACTCCTTCCTCAGTCATTGCTCTGTTCCTTCTCTACTCTTGTAGCCCATTTCCCCCTTGACTGTCCCTCTTTCTATAAAGGTCAAGGTACCTCTATGACTTTTGACCTCTCTCATTTGGGCTGAGCTAACCATAACTTCTAGTCCTAAGAAACCAATGAGCTGTGGACAAAGTCAGAAAAAGTAAAGGTAAGGTAAGGTATTTTAGGCCTCGATGTGAGTGGAAAAGACATCTATCCATTCATCCATTTATTTATTTATTTGCCTATCTATCTATCTATCTATCTGTCTATCTATCTATCTATATCTGTCTATCTGTTTATTTATTACTTTCTAAGTTACTCAGGTAAGATCAGTGGGTGTAGAAAGAGGGAACACTTTGACAGGTCAAGATGAAAAAGCTTCCCTTTTTGGCTGTAACTTTTTGAACATGGCAGATGGTGCCCAGGGGGACAGAAACCTCAGAGGTATGCTTGGTCATGCTTGCTTTCATCACTTACATCTTATGAGGAAGAAAAACATGAGTAGTTTTAGTGAACTACCTTTTGTCTTTATTGTGATGTGAATGCTACAGATCACACATCCATTCTTACAGCCTAGATGCAAGTGGGAATCAAACCCTCTGCCTAATCACAATAGGAAGGTGAGCAAGGGTCGAAGGGCATCATCAATACAGAGCCCCCTCTTTCTTCTCAACCCCTCCCCCAAACCACTTGCTACTCAGTGTCAAAGCTCAGGATCCTTGGAATAACTGACCAAACACGGGGTTACAAAGTAGAAGTAGGGGTAGGCAGGGTTCTGAACTTTAGGTCCTCATGCCTTTACATAAAAAAACTAGGAATGGTGGCATGCTTGTAATCTACAGTGGTGTAACTGAAGTTTTTTCCAGTCCCTCCCAGGCCTGCATCTGCTCAGACCCAAATAAACACACAGAGGCTTATATTAAATAAAACTGTCTGGCCTATTGGCTCAGGTATCTTGTTAGCTAGAACTTACATCTTAAATTAACCCATTCCTATAAGTCTATACCTTGCCACGCAGCTCATGGCTTACAGGTATCTTTACATCTTGCTTCTCATGGTGGCTGGTAGTGTCTCCTGACTCAGCCTTCCACTTCTCAGAATTCTCCTTATCTGTTTATCCTGCCTATACTTCCTGCCTGGCTACTGGCCAATCAGCGTTTTATTTATCAACCAATCAGAGCAACACATTCACAGCATACAGAACATCCCACAGCACAGGGGGGTCCTAGGAGCTCACTGGCCAACCAGTCTAGTCTATTGGCAATATCCACATTCAATTAGAGACTCTGTCTTAAATATTGAGTTGGAGGGTGGTAGAGGGAGATACCCAGTGTCAACTTCTGGCTTCTACACTCACTTGCAGGAGCTATACACACCTGTGCATTCAGGCATACGCTGCACACTCAAAACATAGATTAAAAACCTTTTCTAAAACTAGAAATTGGGCTTTTAAGAATCATGCTCAGCCAGTGATGGTGGTGGCACATGCCTTTTAATCCCAGCACTAGGGAGGCAGAGGCAGATGGATCTCTGTGAGTTCGAGGCCAGCCTGGTCTACAGAGTGAGTTCCAAGACAAGCTCCAAAGCTACACAAAGAAACCCTGTCTTAAAAAACAAAACAAAACAAAACAAACAAACAAAAGGACTCTAGCTTTCTGTACAGATAGATATTTGTGCTCTTTGAATTGATAAGGGTAAAACTATATTTCTTATAAATACCAAAATAGGTATAAGTTTGGAAAATAGTGTGTGTATTTAGACTTGATTTTTGAAGACCTGTGGGTTTCCTGTGTTGATTTTTCTCCCACTGTGCTTTGTCTAGAAGAATAGAGGTTGGCACAAATAAGGCTTATACTTACTTATACTGGTATAATATATATATATAGTGTATGTGTGTATGTGTATATACATACATATATCATATTGTATCATATACTCTATGCTCCTGCACTTGAACACAGCTAC